ATAAAAACGAGAACACTGGCAAAAAAAATTTAAATATCAACTTTTTCAGAATTCTGGAAATTAACAAAAGGTTTTCAACAATAGATTTATCCAAGAAAAAAATGGGTGAACCTCCGTAAGAACAATGAGTTTTGGAGTACAGGCAGTACCCAAGCTACAAACATCTGACTCATGTACAACTCACATTTATGAACAGAGGCTATTACAGTAAGTCTCCCAGTTACAAACATCAGACTGACATACTTATAAACGGTAAGGTAATAGGTAAATGTATCTGCCTAAACTTACACACAAATTCAACTTAAGAACAAATCTACAGAACCCATTTCATTCATAACTCGGGGACTGCCTGTATTTTACTTGCCCTAATCCCTTTCCCATGTCCCCAACTCTGTGATTGTCTTCAAAACCAACTGCCCATAATCATAGTGAAAACCAGCAGCCTGGCAGCCAATTAAGGTGACAGAACTGAGTTGAACCTCCACAAAAGTTCTATCCCCAGAAAACTGTCCCTATTTGACCCGCCTGGCAGCTCTCTGTAAAGCTCCATTCTTAGAATTTGTCTTTGTTGGATGCACTCAGAGCTCACCGTGTGCAAACAGCTCTAACCCAGGGCATTTGTCAAAAAAATCAACAACAACTGTTTAACATTACAGCTGCCTGAGGCGGTGAAACCAGTTGGCACTAACAAGAGCATGACCAAAATTTTTTTTTTTTTTAAGTGGGAATGAGATATTCATAAGAGGCTTTGAAAAGCTCCAGTGTATGCCTGGAAATCTAGAAGAAAATGCACATGTCCAAGAAAATCCTGAAGAGCCTCATTTCACACCTCTAGCTGACCCTGAGGGTCACACAGCAGAAAATAAAGATTGAGACACACGGTGAGCTGACTGTGAAGCACTGAGATCACGCCCAAGTCACACAGAGGCCCTCAGCAAAGGAAGACACTTAACTGTTCCAGGCGTTTAGGAACTCTCAGTCTAATCATCAGCTAACCACTAACCTAACCAAGCAGAAATGTCAGTGGCTGCATATGACCAAGAACACAGACTTTAAAGGACTAGGAATAAACAGTAACAACACAAGGGGCAACAACAGACCCTGGGAAAGTGAGATTACACTATTTAAAATGTTCAAAAATAATAACAAAATTACAACAACAAAATTTTTAAAAATTAAGCATTGTTCATACACAGAGAAAAAAAGAGTTCATTAAAATTATTTCTGAGGGAGCCAGACATTTGTCTTAGTAGACAGTTTAAGCCATCATAAATATGTTCAAAGAATTAAAAGAAATTATGTCTAAAAAATTAATGTACGACAAGTCTCATCAAATAAAGAATATCAATAAGGAGATAGAAATTATAAAAAAGTCCACATGGAAATTTTGGATTTGAAAACTACAATAAGTGGCCAGGTGCATCCACTCACATGTGATCCTAGCACTCTGGGAGGTGAGGCTTGAGCTCAGGAATTTGAGATCAGCTTTAGCAAGAGCAAGACCCCATCTAGCAAAAAATAGAAAAAACCAGCTGGGCATGGTGGCAGGTATATCTAGTCTTAACCACTTGGGAAGTTGAGACAGGAGATTTGCTAAGAACCAGCTGGGCATGGTGGCAGGTATATCTAGTCTTAACCACTTGGGAAGTTGAGACAGGAGATATTCTAAGGCCCAGCAGTTTAAGGTTGCAGTGAGCTATGATAATTCCACTGCACTCTCTGTCAAAAAAGAAAAAAGAGGCTCGGCGCCTGTGGCTCAAGCGGCTAAGGCGCCAGCCACGTACACTTAAGGTGGCGGGTTCGAATCCAGCCTGGGCCCGCCAAACAACAATAATGGCTGCATCCAAAAAATAGCCGGGCGTTGTGGCAGGAGCCTGTAATCCCAGCTAGTTGGGAGGCTGAGGCAGGAGACTCGCTTGAGCCCAGGAGTTGGAGGTTGCTGTGAGCAGTGAAGCCAGGGCACTCTACCCAGAGGCTCAGCTTGAGGCTCTGTCTCAAAAAAGAAAAAAAAAAAAAAAGAAAGAAAGAAAAAGAAAAAAGAAAGAAAGAAAAGGAGAGAGAGAAGAAAAGAGGAAAGGAGGGGAGGGGAGTGGGAACAGAAGGGTAGGGAAGAGTGGAAAGAAAAGAGAAGGGGACAGAGTGGAGAGGACAGACTGCAGAGTCACTTAGAAGGTAGAGTTAATATGACTTTGTGTTAGATGAAAGTGAGATATTCTCCCTCAAGAAGCTAACAAGAGTCTTTGCTTGATCAAACTTCAGTCAGGTATTCTAAAACTCTTCGTGAGTCCATCTTGACACTTCCTTGCAAACCACAGTATGAGCAAAAGAAACTTGCTAAGGCAATTTAGCCAGAACCTCTCCCCATTCTTGATGACTGGTCATTCTTGATATCTAATCAGGTTTCTCATCTCCCACCATCAACCCTGGCTTATCTTCAGCAAGAATCTTGTTACATGGGTTCAACAGAATCCCCTTTACCCATGATGTTTCCTCTTAATAATTCCCATTCACCAACCCCCTCCCCACCGTGCTGCTCCTTAGCTGTAAATTCCCCTTATCCTGTGTTGCATTCGGAGTTGAACCCGATCTCTCTCCCCTACTGCAAAACCCAACATATTGGTCCTGAATAAAGTCTTAATACTTTAACAAGTATCACTGAATAGTTCCTTCTTTAACAGAGCAGATACTGTAGTTGGAAGAATGTACAAAGTGAACCAAACAAGTATTCTATATTGCACCCAATGACTAGTAGATAGAATGGGAAGGAAAATGGCATGAGGTGAGGCTAAAACTAGATCAAGATAGCTGAGAATTGATCTTTGTTCCTAAATATTTTAAAAAGTCATTTAAAGAATTTTGAGAAAAGAAATGATATGACTTTGAGCAAAGTGACTATAAGTCATTAGGAAAATCCAAATCAGAACCATGATGAGATACCATGTCATATGCTTGAGGATGGTTGTTATTAAAAAGACAGACAATAACAAGTGTTGGTGAGAATGTGGAGAAACAGAAACCTCACACATTGCTGGTGAGAACATAACAGGGGATAGCTAATATGGAAACCATTTTGGTAATTCCCCAAAATACTAAACCTATGCCACCATATGACCTAACAATTTCTCTTTTAAGTAAATACCCCCCAAAATTGAAACCATAAGTCCTTTAATTTAAAAACTTGTATATGGATGTTCATAGTAGCATTATTGATAATAGCCCCAAATAATCCAAACTATTGATAATAGCCCCCAACAAATCCAGATAAACAAAATACGGAATATCCTTACAATAGAATATAATTTAACCATAAAAAGCTATGAATTCCTGATACATGCTACAACATCAATGAACCTTGGAAGCACTGTGCTAAATGAAACAAGCCAGACACAAGGACCACATAGCATGATCCCACTTACATGAAATGTCCAGGATAAGCAAATCCCTAGAAACAGTATATTAGTGTCGCCAAAGGCTGGGGGCCAGAAAGAAGAAAAAACAAAGAATGACTATCAATGGGTGTTAGGTTTCTTTTTGGGGTGACAAAAATGTTCTGAAGTTAAATAGTGATATGGTTGCACAGCTCTGAATATACTAGAAACCACTGTGTTGTACCTTTTTAAATGGTGAATTTTATAGTACATAAATTATATGTCAATGAAGGTATTATTAAAAAAAAAAACTGTTGGCTGGGGGGGCGCCTGTGGCTCAAAGGACTAGGGCACCGGCCCTATATGCCAGAGGTGGCGGGTTCAAACCCAGCCCCGACCAAAAACAAAAAAAAACTATTGGCCTGGCACCCATAGCTTAGTGAGTAGGGCGTCAGCTACATAAACCGAGGGTGGTAGGTTCGAGCCTGGCCCGGGCCTGCTAAACAATAATGACAACTGTAACCAAAAAATAGCTGAGTGTTGTAGTGGGTGCCTGTAGTCCCAACTACTCAGCATACTGAGGCAAGAGAATCGCTTAAGCCCAAGAGTTTGAGGTTGCTGTGAGCTGTGATGGCATTCTACTGAAAGTGACAAAGTAAGACTGTCTCAAAAAATAAAAATAAGAAAATATAAAAACTGTGATGAGGTTTTTTTTTTTTTTTTAACATCTACTAACATGAGTAAAATAAAAAAAGACTATAAATACCAATTCTGCCAACAATGGTTGTAGATCATCACTGTTGGTCATAAGTATAATAATACAATGGCTTTGGAGAATTATTTGGCAGTGTTATACAGTCAAACAGGCATTTACCCTATGACACATCAATTCAAATCCTAGTTTTTTACTGAAGAGAAATGAAAACTTATAACCAAAAGAGTTGTATAGGAATGTTCACAACTCCTTATTCATACAATAGAAAAATGAAAGCCATTCAAACGTCCATCAAAGAATGGATAAGCAAACTATAGTATACTTACACAATGGAATACTATGCAGAAATTTTTAAAAAATTAATAACAATATGAATAAGCCTCAAATTCATTCTCTTGATGGAAAAAAGACTTACAACCACTTATACCATGATTCTATTTATATAAAGCTTGAGAACAGGCAAAAATAATCTATTAGGGTAGCACAGAGAACAGTAGTTTCTAGGGCAGGTGAAAGGGGAACAGGCATAAGAGAACGTGTGGGAGTGTGATTAAAGTAATCTTGTTGGATATACACATTTATAAAATTATCAAAACTAACCAAAACAAAGATTTAAGATCTATCTATTTTATTATATGTAAATTTTATCCCACGTAAAAAAGAAACAGTAGTGTTTCTCCTGAAATATTCATGGGCAAAGTGACAGAATATCTGAGATAGGTTTTTAATACTCCAGGACAAAAAAATATATATAAAGAAGGTAAAAGAAGATAGGCACAAAACATGGGTAACTGCTGAAGTTGGATGATAAAAGTACACTGGGTTTTACTGTTCCCTCTAGTTTTGTGTAAGTTTGAAAATTCCCATAATGAAAAGTTAAAAGTTATTCATTCATAAGTTAATGAATTATTTCTTACTGTAGTTCTGAGGCACAAGTTCTGGGTTCTTAGGAGTTTTCAACTTGTAGGATACATCTCCAATATTTACTGTATCACCTAAAAAGATAATAAAGAAACAGAAGCATTTTAAGAAAAGTGCCCACTATGCCTTTGGCAACATCAATTGTCCTAACCTACAGAAACCTTATAGGAATGTACCACACATCTAAGTCAAGCACTATCTTCTAAAACTTGCAAAGTACGTACCATATAAAGGAGAGATAAGACACCATTCACATTTTAAATGCTAGGTTAGGGGCAGCACCTGTGGCACAGTGGGCAGGGCACCAGCCCCATACACAGAGGGTGGCAGGTTCTAACCCGGCCCCAGCCAAACTGCAACAAAAAAATAGTCAGGCATTGCGGTGGGTGCCTGTAGTCCCAGCTGTTTGGGAGGCTGAGGTAAGGGAATCACCTAAGCCCAGGAGTTGGAGGTTGCTGTGAGCTGTGTAATGCCACAGAGCTCTACCATGGGTGATAAAGTGAAACTCTGTCTTCACAAAGAAAAAATAAAATCAAATAAAATAAAGTAAATAAAAGCTAGGTTAGCAAGAAGATGAGCACAATAAAAAACACATTAATCAACTTTTTTCATTGATACCAATGCTATCTAGGCAACAACAATACAGAAGAATGCATTTTAAGATCATCCAAAGCATGAATAGGGTAGAATCTTTAACATACACCCCAACCTTTTCATTTTTTATATGTCCTTATTTTTACCATAAACAATTTCAAGTTATCTAGCAACATATCCTCAAAATTCAATATTTCTAGGTGCATAAAAAAAAAGCACCTGTGATATAAATGCCAAGAATTGCCACATGAAATAAGGGAAAGAGAGCAAAAGTTCTCAGTATTAAAATTTCTACATGGTTCTATTTTTTTAAGTAACAATTTCTGGCTGAGCTTCTTCTAAAGTACCAAACTAAATTGAATAATCTCACTCTGCTGTCTACAACAGCAAAATAGGAATAGTGGTACCATATGCACCTGGAACTTCATTTGGAAAGGGCTCAAAGACACTAAGAAAAGTAGCTGTGCAAAACCTATTTCAGAAATTCCAGTTGAACGCTAGTAAGGTATCCTGAAGTCTAAGACTTTAAACCATGACACTAACAACAATAGCCAACACTTGAATGCTCTTCTGAGTAGTTTACACATTCCCAAGAGAACCCTGTGGGACAGAAACTTTAGAAACAAGGAAATTCATGTAATAAATTAATAACCGTAATAACTTAAAACTTTGAAAAGAGTTTTTGTAGACAAAGAAATTCATTAAAGCACGTAGTAAGTTGAGAGAGAAAGATAAGGACTACCTATGAAGCTAAGTCCTTGCTAGGTCCAAATTAACAGCCAGAAGAAGGCGAAGGAAACCAAATTGAGGACAAAAATCCTAAAGGCTACAACCTCCTCTACAATCCAATAAGCCCTCTTTTTCCCTCCTCTGACTAATCAACTCTTTGTCTTTACTCAGTCTGTCCTAAGATTCTCAAAGCATCAATTTCACCTGGGAACTTATAAGTAATGCAAAATTTTCACACTCCCATCCCAGATTTACTGAATCAAAAACCCTGGAATTTGGTCCAGCAATCTGTGTTTCAATAAGCCCTCCAGGTGATTTCTAGAGCAAGTCTGAAAATCACTAGTCATTTAAGTTCTAATACTTTCAAAAAACCATGTGGTCAGCAAGTTCTCACAGTACAACCTTAATTACTCCCAGGTATTACTGGGTCATGCTATCCTATTTTCCTTATTGCAGGAAAAAGAAAAACGTAAATTAGCTACTTTCTAAAATAGATTTTCTTTGGAAGAATCAGCTTGGGCCCAAGTGTAGTGTCCTAGCATTCTGGGAGGCCAAGGTGGGAGTTTAATTTGAGCTTGGGAGTTCATGACCAGCCTAAGCAAGAGTGAGACCTCTGTCTCTACTAAAAACATTAAAAATATGCCAGTTGTTGTGGCAGGTGCCTATAGTCCCAGCTACTTGGGAAGCTAAAGCAGGAGGATTGCTTGAACCCAGGAGTGTTTTGGTTTTTTTTCTTTTTGCAGTTTTTGGCCAGGCCCGGGTCTTAACCCACCACCTCCAGTATACGTGTCTGGTGCCCTACTCCTTGAGCCACAGGCACCACCCTGAACCCAGGAATTTGAGGTTGCTATGAACTAGGCTAACTCCATGACACTCTAGCCTGGGCAAAACAGTGAGATTCTGTATTTAAAAATAATAATAATAATAAGCTTGCTTACAAACATAAGGGTGATACTATCTACAGGCTTTCATTACACAGAAGTTATAAAGAATTATACCTATGGCTCAGCACCTGTAGCTCAGCAGCCAGGGCACCAGCCACATACACCAGGGCTGGTGGGTTCGAACTCAGCCCAGGCCTGCCAAACAACAATGACAACAACAACAACAAATAGCTGGGCATTGTGGCAGGCGCCTATAGTCCCGGCTACTTGGGAGGCTGAGGCAAGAGAATCACTTAAACCCAAGATTTTGAGGTTGCTGTGAGACCATGGGTGATAAAGTGAAACTCTGTCTTAAAAAAAAAAAAATTAAATATATAAATATAACCAGTAGATTCCTTTACTCTTGGCTTTACTAGTTTTCATAATCTACCTTAAAAAATATATCCCACAATTTTTTAGTGTTTTTTTAATAACATTCCTTAAAAGAAACATTAATATATTCATTTTAACTGAAAGGTGCAAATAATTCTTCTGTCAGAAAGTCTAATTTAGGTGATTGGTTTGACAGTACAGACTTCCTTTGCTAATGATGAAAACTTCAAGAATTCGACAAAAAGTTGTTTTGTTTTGTTTTGTTTGAGACAGGGCCTCAAGCTGTCACACTGGGTAGAGTGCTGTGGCATCACAGCTCACAGCAACCTCCAACTCCTGGGCTCAAGCGAGTCTCCTGCCTCTGCCTCCCAAGTAGCTGGGACTACAGGCGCCGGTGACAATGCCCTACTATTTTTTCGTTGCAGCCATCACTGTTGTTTGGCGGGCCCGGGCTGGATTCGAACCTGCCAGCTCTGGTGTATGTGGCTGGCGCCTTAGCTGCTTGAGCCACAGGCACTGAGCCAAAAACGGTATTTAATCATATGATATTTTCTCAAAATTATCCAGTTTTATATATAATTACATTACACTGTTTATATATATTATATATAGCTAAAATTAATGGTTGTATTTTATAACTATTGTTATACTATTGTATTAAATAACATTTTTGGTAATAAATCAGTATACTATTTTTGGCATATAACTTATTATTAGTATAATGCGCTAACCAACTGCGCAACTGGAGCTTTGGCATATAACTTAGAAAGTCTGGAAAGAATTGATATTGTATCAAAATTCAACTGTGGAATATTAATGATATTAATAAATATATTAGTTAATATTCAGGTGAGGGAAGTACCACTCGTGTCATAAAAAAGTATATTTCCAGCTGGGTATAGTAGCTCATGCCTATAATCTTAGTACTCTGGGAGGCTGAGGTAGGAGGATCCCTTGAACTCAGGAGTTCAAGACCAACCTAATCAAGCCTGTCTCTACTAAAAATAGAAAAATTAGCCAGGTGTTGTGATGGGTGCCTGGCTATTGTCCCATCTACTTTGGAGGCTAAGACAGGAGGATCTCATGAACCCAGGATTGTGAGGTTGCTGTGAGCTAGGCTGACACCATGGCACTCAAGCCTGGACAAAAAACAGAGATTCTTTCTTAAGAAAAAAAAAAAGACATACCTCCACAATATTTTTGTTTTCATCAAAATTTGTAACATATTGATATTCTTTTGAATACTTGTGCACTAATTATAATGACAAATGTTTTAACATTTAGATATTTTTGTTGCAGAACAGTATGATAGAAATAAAATTTTCAAGAATGGAAATATATTACGACAAAATTGTGGAGCTGGGCACAGTGGCTCACACCTACAATCCTAGCACTCTGGGAGGCTGAGGCGGCCAGATTGCTTGAGTTCAGGAGTTCCAGACCAGCTTGAGCAAGAGCAAAACCCTGTGGCTAAAAATAGCTGGGCACTGTGGCAGGTGCCTGTAGTCCCAGATACTGGGGAGTATGAGGCAAGAGGATACTTGAACCTAAGAGTTTGAGGTTGCTATGAGCTGTGACGCCACGGCACTCTACCAAGGGTGACATAGTAAGAGTCTGTCTCAAAAAAAAAAAAAGATAAAATTGTGAAGAATAATTATAACTGAAATATAAATTCCAGAAGATAAAAGAATAATATTTTCTGACAATTAAAGAAAAGCTTTTTTGTGGCAGGCACCTGTGGTCCCAGCTACTTGGGAGGCTGAGGCAAGAGAATTGCCTAAGCCCAGGAGTAGGAGGTTGCTGTGAGCTGTGATGCCACAGCACTCTATCCAGGGCCATAAAGTGAGACTGTCCCTACAAAAAAAAAAAAAAGAAAGAAAGAAAGAAAAGCTTTTAATTTACTTTCAAAACAGAGACAGTAGCAAACAAATCACTAGAATATCCTGTTTCCACTTAAAAGACAGAAATAGAATTTATAACAATTTTAAACATCAATGTTTACAACACACTGGAAATGTCATCCTTTGCAACTATTTACACTTACCAGAATAACTTTAGATATCAACCTCAAAATATGCAAAGGAATACTTATTTGCCACTCCTTTTAGCAGATGAATGACAAAAATATTTGAAGACTGCTGTTTAGTCTACAACTTTTATTTTACTCTTGATGCAAGGCCTGTGTTTTCATGCCATTATATCCTCAGTGCCAAAAATGGTATCTCAAGCCTGATAGTCAATAAATGTTTGACAAATAAATGATTACAGATTAAATTAAACATTATTTTCTTAATTAAGTACTGTTTTTAAGCTCTAATGATTTTCTCTATCTTCAAGCACATCCTACCTACTCACATGCTCATAAGTCAAGCCATTAGTAACTGATTTTTTTTTTTTTTTTGAGACAGAGTCTCACTACGTCCCCCTCAGCAGAGTAGCATGGCGTCACAGCTCACAGCAACCTCAAACTCTTGGGCTAAAGCAATTCTCTTGCC